GTCCCCAACGGGTGACCGCCTGCCAGGCCGATTCCGGCCAAGTCATATATATCTGCGTAAATTACGCCTGCTGGCAGGGCTCAAGAGTGAGCCAGAAGGCAGAACCGGACGAGTGAGTTCGGTTGGCGATCAGCGAACGTTCATCAAAGAGTGTCAACACATAGGTCTCCTGTGCACAAGGTCAGATCGCAGCGAGTATTAAAACGTATGCCGGATGAAACAATGTACGAAGTGCACCTGATAAAATCCTTCATCTGCAAAGACGGTATGCCCAATGTTGATGGTTAAACACAAGGTCGGTATTCGGTCAGAACCGCGGCATGGGGCGTGGGAATACTGACAAGCATGGGCTGGCGACAAGCAGATGCCTGAGATCTTCGGCCGGTAAGAATTTGTCTGAGTGCGGCCCTACTTAAAATTTGTAAGTAGGCGGTTATTCTCATTGTTAATTTGAAAAGCTATTTTACTTCATATACTGAGTTAATCATCTATTGTACATGGTGACCTTCCGAAGACCCCTCCGCTGTTCAATATCAGCATCCAATGCCTACTGGACGAACGGTCGGCGTGCTAAAAACTGGAAGATTGTAGGGAAATCCAACCTACTTAAAATGTGTAAGTAAGTGGGTATAATACATAAGTACCCTTGTGGAGCCCAGTACATACTCTTACCCTTCGATCGATGCCATGCAGTAGGGATTAGATCGTGTGGCCGGGTCGTTTGGCTTCTTCTTCGGACAAAACGCCCGGTCCCACCTCCGGTCACCTTGACGTTGTCTTCCCATCGGAGCAAGGTGAGCGAAGGCAGGAATGCTCGAGTTTGATAGATGCTGTGCAAGTCTGCCTCCATAGAAACTCACTTACGCGAATTGCGTTGGTGATGTACCCATTCCGTGCGCCAGGCGGTGGACATTATCACCTGAGGGAGTTTAACTATCATATGAATTGTGTAAATTTCCAGGGGTATCTTCGGGACAAACCTTCTCAGACTCAGACCGAACGTTTGTGGCAATATTTGAACTAATATCAGCCAGCAGGATGAAAACTAGAGGTTATATATATCAGAAAACACACGGAGGGACGCACTGATGAGTCAAACCCCTCGGAGCTACGGCATACAGCAGCAAAAGCCCGGCGAAACACGTGGCTCTGGGCTTCTTCCTAGTACCTCTGCTGTCAGTATGGTAAATATTTACATAGTCAAACTATCGTTGTCAATAAAAGACTGTATAAGTGCTAGTGGACAGCGGGAGAAAGGGTGATAGGGGGAAGGTAATGTCCGGGTGACTTGTGAAGTAGGCAAAAACAGGTTAAAAGGGGTGAGTACCTGGGAAACATCGAGAACGAGTGGTTCATCGTCATCACCGGGCCTTTTCATTTCCTTCTCTACTTTCGGTTTCCTCTCGTCCACTGGCTGACTATCCACCTCCATTTTGTTCTCCGCCTTCACCTCACCGACCGCCTGCATCGCGCTAGACGAGGTGAGGTCTGTCTCCTCCACTTTGGGAGGTAGAGGAGGAAGCAGGGGTTCCCCGGACGCGGTAGGTGACCCCGCAGCGGTCTCCTGCACATCCATT